GGGGGGGACAAGAGGGTTAAACAAATAAACTGACTGAAAGAGAATGAAAGAGATCCTATAGAGAGAGACAGACAGACAGAGAAAGAGAGAGAACATTTGTAAGATGATTCTAGGAGTATCTTTTTTGGCATCTTTCATCTTTTGTGGATCAGATTGACAAGACATAAAAAAGAAACAAAATATTATTTTCTAAAATCTATCATTGGCATTTTCTAAAAATTGAAAATTGGTGGGAATTCGAGAAACTATATTAAGGGGAAATAATCATGATGTATAACGTCTCAACATCATAATTTTACTTGTTATCTCCCCTATATCAGAAGCGCCAATCTGTTTCAATCACATAATTCTACACTACAGAATTCTACACTTAGAATTCTGTGTTCTACACTTAAAACGGGAACTGTACCACGTGACCTGTGAGAAATTGAAGACCGAAAACAATGGCGTCTTGAGGGCACGATTTATCGTTTTCGGAAGTAACCCTATAGCTTTTAAAGCAAGAGCGGCTTTTACAAACGAGTGAAAAGTGGAACATTTACTGTCCAGTTTGTAATTTTGAGTTACAGAATTCACTGTGCAACTAGAGATTGGAATTAAGGTTTTAAATTGTTGTGTTTTAGGGTGCAACAACACAAACAGCAGACATAGAGAGTTTATAAATATAAGATCTAGATCTACAGAACTGAAAAAATTCGTAACAAGGATGGGATTGCTCACAGCACTTCTAGCTTCCCACACACATTTTGCATACGTATATGGCCTACGTAATTTTTTAGTAGCAAAGCTTGTTACAAAAAATTTGTTTTACACTGAACATATTTTTTCACTAGATCTAATTAATGTTCTCAAAACATGCGTTCAATAATTAACTTTATGTCGCCAGCAGAAGTAGAAAAATGGACGGACTTGCTTTTAAAAGAGATTTAGCTCCAGCTATAAACTTTTTAAAAATCTGTAGAAACCATTGACTGGGATTAATTTTTAAAATATTGGGCTAGTATTTATTAAAGAATTTTCTTTAAAGAAATTTCTATAATAATATAGAACCTATAGATGTGTACAAATGTTTGAAAAAAATACTCATCGGTTAAGACGAATTGATATAGATCTACGTCATTGTGTAAAAGTAGGAGAATCTAGATCTAGGTGTTCGATAGTTCAGCAGCCTAGATATTTGATAATAAGTTGCGCATCAAATTTTTGACCACATGCTACAGTAGTAGTAGTAGAGATAGCGTATTATTTTCATCCGAAACATTAATTTCCGCATCCATACACCTTTTTGGGCCTTTATAAGCACATGTAGTCCTACTTTAATTATGTTACTTTCATAATTGTTTTTTTAAAGCATTTTCAATTCCTTTCACTTTCACTTCCCACGCGCGGGCTCATATAATTATGATTATAATTTAAGATTCCAAATCTGACGAATGTATTATTAAATGTGAGCGGCTCTGAGAAAACCCGTCGGAAGGTGCGAGAAGCTATTCTGAGATATCGCTAAAAATAGGCCCCGAACTTTATTTTTTATCGAAAACGAAATTGTATGAAATTCAGAAAGATAGACCATTTCTACATCATACGTTTTGAAGAAATTTGCTCAAAAGTGATTAAAAATATTAAAATAATTATTTTTGAGGACATATCGTCGCCGTATTACGCTGAATTCTTAGACAAACAGGGGGAATATTTACTAAATCGGATAGACACTTCTTTTTAATATACCAAAAGAAAGAGAATTTTATTGCCGTTTCGGGAAAACCCAATGCGCATGAATGTGTGAACATTACAAATAGTTCTGTGAGTTGCGCATGTTGTAGTTTCACTTCTGAAATGGTATTTGTCATGAATGCAGTTTAACATCTAATGTACCATTTCCTGCCGTTCAAATCAAATATGAACTGTTCCTTATAAAATTGACTTTAAGTTCTTTTTTCTGCTCTACGAAGTATTTTTTTCCGAGTTTACTGTAAGTAAACTGATTGTTTTCTGTTTCCAAGTGGTCGAGCGCTTTTGTTTACATAATTTAATTGAATCAAGATGGCGGACCGATCAGCTGAGTGGCGTATTTCATCGATGTGGAACGATCTCAGTCGGATTGGAATGAGACAAATCACAGACGAAAATGAATTGGATGAACTGATTATTGATTATTTCAATGCAAGACCTATTGATTGTGAAGACAGTCGATTCTAGTTTGGAGGAGGAGACACATGATGAACCAATTACGACGACGACCGTGGCCGTGACACACCCACACACACCCACACCCCCTGCTCATGACCATGATCTGGAATCTGGAACTTCATGAAGAAGAAGTCCTGGTTCCTGTTCAACCAATTGGCATAACATCATCAGATGGTAAGCAAGGTTTACCATACCCGCAGTCCCAGCTTCTATACTAGTCCTTATAATTGATAACTTAATTATCAGCTAGATTAAAGAACTGCGTATTCTTCTAGATTCTATCCTACCTCTTAGCCTTAGCAGTGTAT